GTTGAGGGAGGGGTGCTTGGTAGGGCAGACCCAGCGGCTCCTGGGGGGTGCAGGTGAGGCGGCACAGCTGGGATCGTGGGGTGGGGATTCTAAGCCAGAACTTGAGTCTTACGCAGCTGTGTGGTCTCGGGCAGGTGTCTTCACCTCTGTGAGCCTCACACTTCTTGGCCAAAAAGTGGCCAATTATAACGATACTTTGACAGCCCCGCTTAGGAAAAAGGAGTCCAGATTTTGGAGTCAGGCGTTGTGTTAAACTCTGGATTTGCCAAGGACGAGTTACGTAGCCTGAGGCTAGTTACTTAGTATCTCTGAGTTGGTTTCTGAGTCCGTGGGAGGAGTTGTCGCAGGGACTCAGGTGAGTTGATGGGGCTTGGAGCACGCTGGAAAATTCAAGGCTTTGCAGATGATGCTGGTTTCATCAGTAGCTTGGAAAGGAGCTCTGGGAAATGGGTCTGGCACCCGATCCCCCCACGCCAGTTCCCCCAACCCCAGTCATATCGGTTCTCAGGTTCACCCTACACACCAGCGGGGAGAAGGTTCCGCCCTGCCTGGGTCCCCACTCCTTCCCACACTGTCTAGTTACCTCAGTTAGCCGCGTTGTTCCCCCTTTGTTCTTCCTGGAAAGGAAGTCCAGACTCGGTCCTGGAGTCTCCTACCCAGAGCCTCAATCTTAGGCCCCCCCGAGGGATTTCATCTGAGGATCCCAGTTAATCCCCAGGAGGCCTGAGGGGCTGTCCCAAGGCCTAGGACCAGAGCCTTTCAGTCATCCTGAGGTCCTAGAACCCACGTCCTCCTGGAACCAAGCCTGTGATGGTGCCTGGGCGGGGGCCCACGGGAGACTTACCGTGGTTCACTTTTACCTGTTATGCGGCTGGCCTGGCACCCACAACACTGCCCTGGCCCCCTCCCGGCCCTGGCGTTGTGGGTACCAGGGAGACGGTGGGAGGAGGGGTGAGGGCAGGGGAGTGAGAGAGGCTGACAGGAGGCGGGGACTCTGGGGGGCTGAGGACTATAAAAGGGTACGGCTGAGGGGCCCGGGCACCCTTCAGCTTGAGGCAGGCGTGCGCGTGCGCACTCAGGACTCAGGGTAAGCGGTCTCAGCCGGGGTGAGGGCCAGCCTCTGCAGACTCCTTGGGCCTCGGGCCTGGGATGGGGGAAAGACTTGATGCCTTGCAGAGCAGGGGTGGGTGTCGGGGGTTCCGAGGTCCTGCTTGGAGTGGACTCTACACCTGGACGAATCTACCACCCTGGAAGAGCAGTCTGCTGACCAGAAGGCAGAAAACGTGTGCGGGGAGTGGGTGGTGGCCACGCACACAAATGTGCGTGACCATGACCTCGGGTGGGGGGGGGGCGGGGTCTGAGCGTGCAACCGTGCCTATCGGCTGAGGGTGACACGGGCGACAGCGTCCTCTCCAGGAGCTGTACCTGGATGTCAACCCTGGCGGCGGAGGGGGGCGGCAGACCCACGGGCTGGGGATTTCGGTCCTTGGGTTCCCAAGTTCATTCTGTGTGCTCCCACTCGGTCGGTGAGCTGGAGCACCCCTACATCCCACCCTGCGTCTGCCTCCTCAGAGCCACAAGGTTCTGGATGTCGTGAGTCCTGGCTCCCCTGCCCCACGTCCCCCACCTTCTCTGCCACACTTTCGACTGTGCCGAGGGCCTGGCTGAGCTCCGGCTGCTGGGCAGGTCGTGACCTGGCTGTCCGTGCTCCCCCGGGGCAGGGTCTAGCAGGTGGGGTGGTGGGGGCCGAATAGCCCTTCACTCTGCCCCTTTGTCCCCGGGCTTGGACAAATGAGTGATGGGTCAAGGGGTCGGGCAGGTGGACTCGGCTCTGCCTCTATCCGCCTGCTCCTGGTTCCTCAGATGCCTGTCGCCCGCCGCTGCCTCTCCCTGCTGCTCCTGTCCGCCTGTGTGGCTCTGTTGCTGCAGCCACCGCTGGGTGCCCGGGGGGCCCCGCTGGAGCCGGTGTACCCGGGGGACAATGCCACGCCGGAGCAGATGGCCCAGTATGCGGCCGAGCTCCGCAGATACATCAACATGCTGACCAGGCCCAGGTGTGCGCGAGAGAGAGGGCGAGAAATCCCCGTCCCCGCGGCCCTGGCCCACAAGCCCAGCCATGCTCTTGGGAAAGCAGATCATGTCTACTGACCGGGCCTGGAGCCCTGGGCCCTGGGTGGGATGGTGCCCAAGGGTGGGCATGAGGCGGGTGGGCTGGCCCCTGGGCACAGGTCTTCCCGCCCTCTGCCTCTCCTCCCCCCCCCCGCCCCCCAGGTATGGGAAAAGAGACAGAGGAGAAACGCTGGACATCTTGGAGTGGGGCTCTCCCCACGCAGCTGCCCCCAGGTAGGTTTGCTTCCCTGCTGTGTGTGCCCAGATCCCCCGGGGCTGTAATGGGGGTGGGGGGAGGGGAGCACACAGGCCCAGAGTTGGCCTGATGTCTCGAGGGCGAGGGCGTAAGGACTGTCCACCCCCACTGCCATGTCCTGCCCTCTCCTCACAGGGAGCTCAGCCCGATGGACGTGTAACGCCACCGCCTGCTTCCTCTGGCTCCAAGGGCAGTGCCAGCCCAGCTCTCCCCTCTGCGCCCTTGGCAATGGCCAAAGCTTGCTCCCCGCTGCTCCTCCGCAGACTAAATAAAGCAAATCAAAGTCACGGCTTCTCTGTGTGTCTCTGTGGACCCCTGGGGGGGGGCCGGGGGGGGGGGGGGGAGGAGCAGGCCGAGTGCTCAGGAGAGAAAGGGGGAGGGGAGGGAGGCGAAGAGGGGAAAGGAGGGTACTGTCAACGATCCAGAAGGTCTGTGGGGTCTTCAGAGCCCTTCAGCTCCTCCTCCCCACTTCACAGAGGGGCAGGCCCAGGGGAGGCGGGGACTCCTTCAAGGCCATTCAGCAAGTCAGTGAGGCTTGAATTTTCCCATTTCAGCACTTTAGACTTTCCTGGTCAACAGTCTGATGACAGCCCTGCCCCTAAACGTACCCTCTCCTCCACCAATTCTTTCCTACACCCAGGCAATAGGTGAAGTACTAATTTATACTAAAGTGTCCTTGACACGGGGTGGGGGTGGTGGGCAGGGGCAACGGCCCAGCCCTGAGGAATGACTGGTGCTAAGTCATGACTGGTGCTGCATCAGCGGCATTAAGAGCCACCCTTCCCTGGACAGGTCAGAGATGTGTCACTGTGCACGTTCAATAGGAACACGGCTCATCAGGGGGCACGGGGCCCGGCGGAAGCGTGGCCGGTGGAGGGGGACTGTGACAGGGAAGGATCTGGAGATGGGGTCATGTGCAGACTGTTGGGAAAAGGAGCTTACCGTGTGCCAGGCGCATTCAACAACGCTGTGAGGGAGATACTGTTAGCTTCACTCTATGGAGGACGAAACCGAGGCTCAGAGAGGTTCAGCCGCTTATCCAAGGACCTGCGCAGACAGCAAGCTAGTAATACAGGGCTCCGGCATTGGCTATAGAATCAGATGAACTTGGGTCTGATTCCAGGACCTGCCACTTTCTGTCTGTGTGCTTTGGGGCAGGGCTATAACCTCTCTGAGCCTCAGATTCCTCATCTGTAGAGTGGGAAGGATGACAGGGTTGTCGTGAGCGTGATGTGAACTAACACATAAAACACTTAGCGTGGTCCTCGACCCAGGTAAATGCTTAGTAAATGGGAGCCTTTGAGGGGCAGACTGGTTTGCAGCTCCCGGCCAACCAGCTGCATCCATGAAGCATGTAGAAAGATGAGCAGAGAGGAAACGTGTTTCAAACACGCGAAGCTGCACCTTCTGGAAGAGGGTGACGGTGAACTCCGCGTGGCTCCTGGATGGGGCTCTGGAGGGCAGGCTTTCCGTGATGAGAAGGAAGCGTCTTGGGAGGACCAGAAACTTAGAGAGAACTTGTCCTCAGAAGTAGTGAAATCCTGGTGTAGGAGCTGCTCACGCAGCTGCAGGAGGGGAGGCCGCAGGGGGAGTCGGCCTTCTGGGAGGAGGCTGGGTTAGCCGAGAGTTCCAGCCACCCCCAGGAGTCCAGTCTTCGGCTTCCACACTCTGGTTCCATAAGGCTGAGGACCCGGATTCTGCCCCAAGGAGGCCTGCACTGAGGATAAGTCTCGAGTCTCGGTGGGCCCCAGTGGCCTTCTCCAGCCCTTGCCCTTCTTGGACACCTTGAGTAGGTGGGATGGGATAGGGTGTGTGTGTGTGTGTGTGTGTGTGTGTGTGTGTGTGTGTGTGGCAGCTATGAGGCAAAGGCATGGCTGAAGGTGATTCTCAAACCCAAGTGGGTGGATGGGAGGGGGCCGGTTTCAGCAGAACAAAGTCTGAGTTTGGATGACAGAGGCCAAAGGCCCAGAATGTTCTCTGGCAGCTAAGGGGATAGGCTCTGAACAGGGAGAGAGGTAGACACCTCCCCAGGGCAGGAATTAGGATCCTGCTCAGGACACACTTGTGTGTTGAGAATTGGCTCAGGAGAGGTGCGTCTGCTGCTGACAGCCCCTGCCCCTGCCCAGGCCTTCTGATGGCCACCAGCCCCCAGAGGAGAGTGGCACCCTGGCACCCAGCTTCTCAGGGACAGGCCCCAGGCTGGGCTCCTGCCTCTTCCTCTGCTCTGCTCATCGCCAGAGGGGCTGAGGCAGACCTGCAAGGAAACGCAGGACACATTCTTTACTCTGAGGGGCAGGCAAAGGCACTGCGGCTTGTTCCTGTGCCAACACGGACATCTGGGCTAGCATCAAAGCTTCTGTGTGTGTGGGGGGGGGGGGCCATGGCTGAAGCCCCTCCTTTGAGGTTGCTGGGACGGGCTCCTCTCACCTCTGCTCGCCCTCTAGTTAGAGCCCCCTCTAATGGTGCATGTGTGTAAGGTGAGGGCAGGTGGCTGGGCTGCAGGGAGAAGGCGGGGAAGAACCGCAGGGGAGTCTTTTTCACTCGCAGTAGGCGCTTCAGGGTCCCCTCTCCCCCTTGAAGGACAGGTCCCCTTCAGCCTATGGCCCCCAGAAGTCACCCCCCAGAAGTCACTAAAGCCGTAGAAAGATTTCTCTTTATTGTTCTCACTGGGGGTGGGGGAGGTGGGCAGGTAGGACTTAAGGCTCCTCGCGGAATATAAAGCGGCTCGGCGGGCGAGGAGACTTGAGCCAGGCATCTAGAGGTCAAGGCCCGGCCTGGAGAAGGAAGTCCCTGCGGCCCCGGTATCCCCGCCCCCACCCAGGGGCTTCCTCTCCCTCCAGCCCAACCTGCCCCCAGTTCTGCAGCTCCCGGATCGATCGATCGATCGGTGCCAGCCTGCCCAGGCTCTCCTACCTGGGGCCCTGGGAGGAGGTCAGTGGTTAGGGTTTCCCGGTGTTCTGTTGGGGAGGTTTCCTAGTATTCTCTGGTAGCGGTTTCACGGTGTTTGCTGGTGGACTTTTTGTGGTGTTCGCGGCATTCTTGGGGTTTTGAACGTTTTTCGATTTCTTGGGGTCCTTAGACTTCACGCTGGGAAACACACGTCTTTGCACAGATCACGGGGAGGCCAGGAGCGGTGGGTGGGGGTGCGGGTGGCGTCCGTTTCCTCCCCCACCCCCACGCCCTCCGTCCTCCCTCCCGCTCTCCCCCCCCCCCCCCGCCCACCTGCTGTTGAAGAGCTTCTCCAGGTACTTGTTGAAGTGGGCGAAGTTGGAGAGCCAATCGGCCGCCCTGGGCCCGGGGGGCTGCGGCAGCCGAAGTTCCTCGCCCAGGGCGCCCCGGGGCCGCAGCAGCAGCAGCGGCACCAGGCACACCAGGACCAGTGCGCACGCGCAGCGCAGAGAAAGCGTCTGGCGGGGAGGGGAGGGCGCAGACAGAGCCGCGGGGGAGGGGCGTGTCACGTGACGCTCACGCGGGGGGCCCCGTGGCCGGGCGGGCGAGCCCCGCGCCGGCGCTCACGCTCAGCGGCGCGTCTGTCTCTGGGACGCACACAGGCGCGCGAGGCCGTCAGGGACATCCCGGTGCCCAGGTGTCCCGACCGAGAGGGGCGCAGCTGGACCCGCAGTGATGCGTCTGCGCGCGCAAAGCACC